CGTTCAAGCATTTTCAAATATGCAGAATAGAAAATATTATTGCTATTTTTTAAAAACTAAAATCGAACAATAAAAACAAAATCCACAATATTTATATAAAAAAAGTTATCATTATTTAGAATAATAATTTTGACAAAATATTTTAAGGACAAAAATCTAGAAGTTATCCCTATTAAATAATTATCAAAACTTGTAACTTCCCTTTAAAAATTTTTCCTTAGGGTGCGTCAGAAGTGAGCCGTGATTCCAACCCTTCCGTTTCCGGCTTATGGACAAATTTCGCGATTACGATCACGATAAACAGCGTCGATTAAGTGGCTGAATAGTAGTGCAACCCCCCATTGAGGGAGAGGGACTGCATGAAAGCTTGGCGCTTGATTTATGAACGAAAATCTCGAGTAAATACCCGTTTCCGCGCTCCGCCGGGCGTGAAATGACTTTGGGCGAGTTCTGCCGCGAGTGGGTCGTCGCGACAACGAGCCGGCGGTGCGTGCAGTTCCGGCATCGAGAAACCGGAAGTAATTGGCTTGCACACCGCGTGTTCGTATCTAGTCCACTTTGACGCTTGATGACGTGACCTCGTTCTAATTTTGATGGAAAAAATCATATAAGACTTGCTAAGAAAGAATAATTAACATTATTAGTTTGTACTTACCTTAAAATATTTAATATTAATACATTATTTTTTTAATAATAATAATATGATAATAGAATCAGATGAAACTTCAGATTGAGGATTTCAGGCGCGGCCAATAACTTCAAAAACATAGGAAAATAAAGTTACCTGCAAAAAAAATGTAGAAAATTATAAATCACAAGTTGAGAATTACTATCAGAACAACTTTAATCTTTTGATCGATAATCTGTTTAGACAGAACGTTCTTTTTTCAAGTTTTCAGCTCAATTTTCATGGCATTTTAGTCAAAATCATTGTAAACTTTGCCGTTTATATTGACGATCATATTGAAATTCGACGTTGAAACTTGGCAAAGATAGCTGCGAGCCATTTAGCGAGGTCGAAGGTTGTCTTATAAATTGAGTTTTTATTGAAGCTCGTGTTAGCGCAAACGAAATGTCTTTTATTCCCGCGATAGGTTCTCCCCTTTACTTGCCGCCTTATTGTCATATTTTTATCGTTGAAACTAGTCAGAAGCAGATTCGATATCGATACAAACAAGAAGGATCATCGTTTGATTCCTTTCATTATATATAAAATCTTTCAGAAATTCGTATATTTAAATTTTAATGATTTCTAAATTTTTATTCTTTTAAAAGAATTCAATCATTTCATGTTTTTAATATTATTAACATATTTAAAAAATTCATATAATATAAAATTCAAAAATTTTATCATTACTATACTAAAGCACTACACATTTAGATATACACATGGATAACTTTTTTTCTAAATTAATCAATTAATTTTTTAAAAATTAAAAAATATGAAATAATTTTTATAAATTACACTTACTTTTTAAAATAAAATTTACTTTTCTTATTTATTTGCACAAATTATTGCAATAACTTTTCCTCAAAATAAAAATTTCAGTATATTAATGGCATAAAAAGTGTCAAAAATTTTTATATTATGAAAAAATAGATAAATAAAATAATAATTTATTATTGGAATTATTGTAGTATTATTATAGTATTTTTGAAATACAAAAAAGATTTTATTATATTGCTTAATATTTTTTTCATTTTTTTAAACAATCTATCCTGAAATAATAAATATAAAAAAATGATTAATAATTAAATATTTCATCATTAAACATTAGGAATATTAATACAAAAAAAAATATATAAAAATAGCATCAAATCAAAAATGGTTAAGTGGGCCACTTATCCTTGATGAAAGAATAAAATGCATTAAAATGCATCAATTTCAAAAGATATATATATATATATATATATATATATATATTTATATTCTTCGCGAAGACATTACTTTATCACAATATATTTGCACCCCCATTTTTTATTAATTCAAGATTCTAAATCATTTTTTCTTCCATTTATCATTAAGAGAAATTCATTTTCAATTAAGAGCCACTGCCAAAAATAAATTCATCGATGACCTTAGTTAAATTGATTCGCTGTCCGCGTGGGCATTTCTTTTTTTTTCTTTGATCACTAAATCGAAAGAGATAACCCAATTAATAACAATAATTTATATGGATTTTTTCTTCACCAGAATATTATAATGTTAAAAATGATAATTCTTGTTTTTTTTTATAAATTTTTACTTATAAATATAACGAAAGAAACAAAAAAATTCTTTTTTTTTTTGAGGTTAACTTTATCAATGGATAAAATATGTTAATTTGATTCATCTTCTTTGAACGATTTGTACCACGATGAAATTTTCATCCTCATGATCATTCACCCAGTATCGAGTCGTTATTTATAAGACAAATTTATCAGGAACTTTCATTTATCACAACAGACAGTCAGGTCAGGCTGTCGACAAGAGACACGAGCGAGACACGCACACGCGGTCCTGCGTGCAGCTGTGCGCGAAATTGATGCCATGTCGTTCATTTGCAATTTCTACGTAAGACGTGCTAGTTATTATCAGACATGATGATTAAAAATTCTACTTACGGAAAAGTCGATAATATAATATCTACGACGATTCTAATATTATCATCACATTGAATAAATAAACCAACATTTCGAAAATGCAAAATTTTTCTTCTGTATTGTGTATATATATAAATATAAGTTATTCTTCTGGATTTGAATTAATTTTACGATTAATCTTCTTTTTAACATAATACGTTTACACATCCCATTATATATATATATATATATTTAATTTGGATTGAGTGATAAAATAATAGGTTATATTCATATATATAGATAATTTTTCTGAAAAGAACGGTGAAGATATTAGAAATAATATATGATTTATGGATATTTATTAAAGATTACAAACTATGTTATATAACGTAGATATTAAAAAAGTAATTGGTAAAAAGAACTGTCTTATATATGTTTGTTATAAATTCTTATATATATGATGCTAACACATGGCGCTCAAGTTTAATGTTCTTTATCAGAAATAGAATGAATATCAGGTGTTTAGAATTGATCTCTTGTTTAGTCACATTACGATTTAATGACTAGTCTAATTGACGTCATGGTTTGTGCATATCTAAGCGGTTAGAATGAAAAAGAGACTTTTATCATTATGATGAAAAGTGAAGAGTGAATTTTCTTTCTGCCCTCTCAAAGTTCAAAAGTTCAAGCAAACCGATAAATATGTTCTCTCGTCCGACATCTTCGCTTAACAGATAAGAAATCTGCTTCATTTATTTATATTTAAAAGAACCATATGTCTTTTCAATAATTTTTTGAATTATCATGCTTCCTTTTACATATATTTGCGTCTGGTTGATTATTCAATTGTAAAATATTGTTGATCAAAAATATACCTGAAATTTAAAAATTGCGATAGATTAGAGAAGATACAGAAAAGAGTTATCATATTATAAGATTTTATATTTTATGTACACAATTATCAACTATGCAAGAACCCAGAAATTTAATTGCACCCTCTAGAATCTAAAGTATTTAATTTAAGAAATATCAATTGATAATTTAAGAAAAAAAAAAAACAAAAAAGATTTATCCAATATTTTATGAAATTTTATAACCCATATTCTGAAATGATATTTTTTACTTTTATTTTTTCTTGTCAACTTTCGATTGTTATTTTTATTATACGGAATAATTTAATTAATGTAAATTGTATAATTTAATTAATGTATTATTTCAACGTAATAATAGCTATGTTATATTAAAAGTCTACTTATTAAAAATATTCGAAGAACATTTATATTTGTCGCAAGATTATTATAATTTTACTAAAATATCTATCTGTTAGAATATATAATTATCAGAGGCATATAAATTTTGTAAAACAAAATTTATAGATAAGGAGAGAAAATAAGGTAAAAATATATGCAAGTAAATTAAACAAGGAGACATTGTGAGAGAATGATAGAGATAGGATAAAAATATGGGAATCAGCGCCATCTCTAGAGTGCCGCAAATGAAACTAATGTAAACAAAGAGAGTAAATAATAGAAAAAGGATAGAGATAAAGTAAGAATTGATTAGTAATGCCATCTATTGATTTCTAAAGAAATCTTCAAAGAAAGGATAAAGTAGATTAGGAATTGACAATTAACGCCATCTTTTGAATGCACTAGAAATTTTTCAATTCTTTACTTATTTTAAAGCCCAATAGATGGCGTTAGTAATTAATTCTTACTTTATTTCTATCCTTTTCTTATTATTTGCTCTCCTTGTTTATATTAGTTTCATTTGCGGCACTCTAGAGATGGCGCTGATTTCCATATTTTTATCCTATTTCTGTCATTCTCTCATTATATTTTCTTTGTCTATATTTGTTTTTAAAATATAATCATAAATGAGATACAAAATATCAATGGAATACATTTTCAACATTTTTCAAAACTACAATATGTCTTAATTTTAATATAAAAAACATATATTATTATATTTTCAGCTTTTTAATGTATCTTTATAATAATATTAATAATAATTTATTATAAATAATAATAAATATTTTCTAATTTTTAAAAATATTTTATTAAAATGCTTCGTATGAGAATATATCGGATGTATATACCATTATAGAAATTTTAAAAAGTCTTTTTTCTATTATTTGGAATTCTTTTTCAGAATGCCATTCAAAGATTTCTTCTATGTAAAAAAACATGTATTCCAAAGATCTATAAAAAATGCATTGAATATTAAATCTATTTTTTTATTTGTAATCATATTTATTTATAGTGAGTAAATTTCTAAATTACCGATTATAAATTTTTAAGTATATAACGCCATCTTAGAGAAAAATTGTAAACTCTATAACTACTAAAATATATATTCAATTTCTAACATATCGATTGCTTCATGTTATCATTGTAGACATTATCTGAATATATTCAATTCTTGTAGCAGACGAAAAACATAACCTTTTAAGAGATATTCAATTGTTATTAAAAATCCGAATGAATTAGAGTAAACACTACTTGCCGTTGTATTCATAATGGCGAATGACAGGGAGGTACTAAGAGAAATTTGGGATGGTAAAATTCCTGTTTGTTTTACGCTTGATTCTGAAGAAATTTGTGAATTGCAAGGACCTGACCCATTTTATCTTATGGTGCCTAGGTTAAGTTATTTTCCACTCTGCACAGATAAGGTAAATAATACAAATAAATGATATCAGTAACAAAATACATTTATAATTTTTAATTACCATTTTTATATGTTTTTTCAATTAGATACGAAAGCATTTTATAAGACATATACAAAGTGACAGTAAGCAAGAACATGAAATGTGGTTAGAATTTAATGGTATTCCTTTAAAATGGCATTATCCAATTGGTGTTCTTTTGGATATTTATTCCAATGATGTTGAATTACCTTGGAATATTGTTGTCCACTTTGATAGGTTTCCAGAAAATGTGCTGATGCACTGTCAAAATAAGTAAATATATAAAAACTTAATTTAATATTTGTTTATAATAAAATATTTAATTTGATTAAATTTATATTTTAGAGAAGTAGTGGAAGCATATTTTCTCTCATGTATTAAAGAAGCAGATGTATTAAAGCACAGAGGGCAAGTTGTATCTAGTATGCAAAAGAAAGATCACAATCAATTATGGTCTGGTTTATTGAATGATAAATTTGATCAATTTTGGTCTGTGAATCGAAAACTTATGGAGGCTAGTAACATAGAAGAAGGTTTTAAATACATACCATTTCGATGTTATACAAGTGAGGATAAATATGTACAAAAACTTGTAAAACCTGTCAATGAAGAAGGTCAAAGAAAAACATTGAGGCATTTATTGAATGAAGTATTTCCAGATAATGAAAATAGTAAGTGAATATTTTTTTTGTATTTATTTTTATATATTTTATATGTTTAAGTGTTATTTATTTATGTTTTTTATTTAGTTACAGTGTTTACTCATGGTATTACCCCACCTTTGGAAACACCTCTTCAATGGATGTCAGAACATTTAAGTTATCCTGATAATTTTTTACATTTAGTTGTGACATCATAACCCAAATTGAAATAGCCAGTTGATTAATTATCAATGAAAATTCTATAAATTGTGAATTCAGTACTGTTTTCTCTTGTCAGTAAATAACTGGCTTTCTAATTAAGATCCTTTTATCATGGATCTTTTTAATTTTTATGTGCTTTGTCCCATATTTATTTTATACAAAGTCATAAATGACATTCTAATTTTTCCTGAAAAAAATAACGATTAAACGCTATTACTGTTGCTTATATTCTTGTAATGCACGAACGTATGCAAATTTTATCACAATTGCAACGTCGGACTTTATTAAGATTGGATCGATATCGGACCACATTTATCATAAATCAATCGAATTGTAATTCAACTAACAATAATGTATCAGGAAGAAAATATATTGTATAAATATAATTATATAAATATTTAAAAATCATTTAGGTATAAACATTATATATAAACATTATATTCGACATCATAAAATTAATGTGAATATTTTAATGATAACGAAAATTAATTAATATTATACTTCAAAAGACAAGATGAAGGAGAATAAAATATTAAAAATGCCAAAAATAAATAAACGATCGACGATTTAATTTAAAATTAAAAACCATAATTGAAGCATAAACTAATTTATTGCACAACTATCTCGAGGCTTTCGATATATCCTTAGTATTTGGGAAGATATGTTTTCATCGTTGCGAGTTGTCAAAGAGCCAGTTGGTCTCCGCACAATAACAGGATGATTTCCGTAATTACTGTATTCCATCGTTCTGCGGCTCGTTCCAAAAGTTAAATAATTCACTTCCCTCTTACTTTGTTCCTGTAATATAAAGATTTGAAATAAATCACAAAAATTAATTAATTAAAACTTCGAGAAATGTACGTAATTATATGCAAGATATTGTTAAAACATAATTTGTACATTAAAATATCTCTGAATTTAGAAAGAAGATTATTAAAAATTGTTGTTTCTGTATTTAATTACAATTTAAATATAATATTTTTTATCAATAAATTTGTGTATCATAAATAAATATATACTTTATATATGATTAGGGATATATCTTGATATCTCTTATGAATCTCTTCCTTAGACAATACGATCTTCACTTCCGGCGATTCATATCGCTCCGTCATTTACAATTATTCTTTCGTTTATGCTATACCTGTAACATATCAATTTATGAATTAAAATGTCATCCATTTGATTGTAGTCTCTAATTTAATTATCATCGATCGGAATAAAGATTCCTATATTCAACATACCAACAAAACTGTTAATTAAAGAAGATTCTGTATCAATGTCTATCAAAAAAAAATAAAATGAAAAACAAAGCAAAAAAGATATACTTGGAGAAGAACGGGAAAACAAGAACGAGCAAGAGAAATGTCGAAGAGAATGCACACATTTGTCTAGGGTAAAAATAAACTCTGGTTGGACTTTCACAACGCAGTAAATACTGTTTCACCTCTTTCAGAATTAATATTTCTTATTTTGTTCGTTCGTTTTTTTTTTATTTTTTTATTTTATTATTTAATCTAGATTTTTATTATTTCTTCAAAAAAAACTTTTTTTTTCTGTTTTGTCTTTAGTATTAAATTCTTTTTTAATCGTTTAAATTATTTTTTTTCTTTTTATTGATTACAGATGATTTTACCATTTGGCTCTAATTATTTTCGAAAAGATATAATAAATATAACGATAAATTAATCACGATATTTTTTTCAGCTAGATAACGAAAGATCGTTGATAAAAAAAAGACCTGGATCGTGTTTTCGAAGATTATTTACAATTTATAAGCACTGTCCGATGATATCGGCGGACGGACAAGAAGTACACCGTAAGAATAATCAACGAAACTTGAGACTTTGTCGCCACGTTGATCTTTAACTCGCAAACAGAAGACACGTTATTCGTCTATTGGAATAGAGCCAGAAACTTTTTGGTATCCCTTTCGAATTTCCGGTTGAGAACGCCAGACGCGTGGTATCCTGTCATGAATATTTTATCATTGTAAACAATGATTTATGTTGTCTTTTAAATTAGAAAATATTTAGAAAAATATATATTGCTTTAGATCTTAAATTAATTTAATTTGTGCAAAATTAACATTAATATAAAAGGATTTATTTGCAAAATCATATGTTAAAAATAAATGTATAATTTTGTTGTAAATTTTTGTTTGCATGCTCCACTGTACCCTTCCTAATTACATTGCACCAGTTGGTGACATTTATTGGCGTTGATTGAAGCGTTGCATCAGTCATACTTTGATTCAAGGTGCTTTGCACGCATGCGGTGGCCTCAATAGAAACGAATAGTATATTATTGCGATTTAATATAGAGATCATTCGATAAATGTTTTTTATTCTTTAATACATCAAAAATTATCAATTACAATGAACATAATATATAAACAAAGTTATCGCAAATTTTATTTTTTTGTTATTTCTTTTTATTATAGTTTTAATTATATTGAATGATTTTAAACTAATTGCGCATTAAGGAAATGCATACAACAAGAATGATAAGATATTTAATAATCTTTCAAAGAAATATCGATAAATTAGTGTAACTATATTTTCACTGTCGATAATATGAATTTCTATAATATATAGTATGTTAAGATCTTTCATAAATACGAAATAATTAACAACTTTTTCATAATTGTTTAGCATATTATAATTTTTAATCGATTATCATTGTTTAAATAGGATTCATTATTGATTCACCATATAAAATTCATTATGCTTCTGCTGTAATTATTGTATATTCCAATTCAATTAGCTGCAGTGTATAACTGAAATACATATGAATATGTTGCGTCATATGCACGTGTGCAGCTGCTCGCGTAAGTTTTTTCAACCTCTCCTTAAGTTCAAAGAAACATTCAGCAAGAACTGCAATTTATTTTCATTTTTTATATAACGTCTTTCCATGTTTTAACAGTGATTAATAGTAATAATATAATTTTTATCTTATGATCATATATGTAATTAAGAAATGTATTTAAGAAATGAACGAATATTTAGCATTCAAGAAAAAGCTATGAAACTTTAAAGATTTTTTATGTCATTTATCGGCAATTCAAGTGCATAGTTGATGGACTGCAATTGCACGGTGCGTAAGCAGACTTGCGTGCTTAGAAAGTTTAGCGTGTACGTGTGCGATCGTCAATCCATGAATACTACCAATCAGTCACGATAACGGAAACAATGCATTGCATCGATTGCAAATCATATAATTGTATATATACATCTGATGTACTTTCAGTGCACGAGTTTCTATGAATTGACTTGTGCTTATCTTATATCCTCTTTCAAATGTGACAGAATTAAATTAAAAGCGTCATGAAAATGAACTCGTTTTAAAGGGCAAATGAAAAACATTCATTATAGATATTGCAGAATATCAAGAAATTTTGAACGTGAATCGAGTAACATTTATATCTTGAAAATTGCGTGATATTTCAACTTTAATTTAGCGTAACTTGAAATAAAATATATTGCTCTATTATTTCACGAGCTTCTTCTCTGAGTGAGACATTTCATTAGATAAGATTAATATCTTTGTTAAAAAAAAAAGACAAACAATACCTGAAATGATACCGTTTTGCATTTTTTTTTCTTAAAAGCTTTCTTCATTTATAACAATCATGAATCTTTATAAAAGTGTACATGAACAATATAAATTATTAAATATTTCTTGAAATATTAAAATTTTATCTCTATTATTATTATAAGAAAAAAAAGTGATATAAAAATACCAAGAAATTTATATATTGACGAAATATAAAAATGATAATTATATGATATGTCTCTTATTTCCTCATTTGTATTTTGTAATTATATTTTCTTTGTCGTTAGATCGTGCAATAAATTTTAATGGGATGGAACAAGATTGAGATCAAAGACGGCATCGTTCTTCTGAAGTCAACTTGTAAATCAGTGGTTGTCTTTGTTCAACTGTGTCAACTTTTCTTAAATTATCAGTCTCTCGGTTATCTCGAGACGCACAGTCTGCCACGCATGTAAGCGCCTCCGAGAAATGCATATAATCAAATACGTTTTCACAATCGAATAATCTCGTATGATTGCAGCTATCTAAAATAACAGAAAAAAATACATGAAATGTAAATATATTTTCAATAACAAAAAAAATAATTATTTTATATTATATTATATATTATATAATTATTTGTATATCTTTATTTTATATGAAGTATAAATTAAGTATTAAAAAATCAAATTAAATAATTTTTTATTCAATTTAACTTTTTCAAAATAACAAATAAATTAGATGTTTGATATATCATGAAATTATCTTTTATTTTAATGAATTTTAATTATATAATTATTAAATTTTAAATCTAGGAATTTTTACAACATAACACTGTATTAAATCTCACAATTATTCTCATTTCAATAAAAACGATTCTTTCCGCAAATATATCAAATTACAACAAATAATATAATAAAATTAAAATATTTTAAAAATATTTAAAAATCATTACCTAAATAATATAATAATATAAAATCAAAATCTATTTAAATAAATTGATATATAATTATTTCAAATAATTATATAATAATATATAACTTAAACGATCATTTTTTAAATGATTTATTTCAATAATATGTCTTGATAAAAACAGCCTTTTTTTTTTACTAAGAATATAAAAAAAAATGTAGTCGTTCTTAGATATATTAGATATTGTGATATGTCTAGTAAAAAAGCAAATCTTCGATAAAGAAAATAAATATAGTGCAGGCAAGATTAAAAAAAGAAATGCCATGTTAATATGTGTATATGACAGAATGAAAAATAATAAACAGATTTCTTTTAAAATAGTCTCTTATATTTTCTCTCAAATTCTCATAATCTACGCGTGTGTATATAATACAATATTTAATACAATAATTTTTGTTTTTTTTTTATTTTTCGAACGTACAAAAAAAAAAACGTTGATGATATCTATTTTCTCCGTACATTAAGATTGTTTCTCGATCATTCTATCCCTTTCTCTCTGAATAATTCAGTCTCTCTTCCTCTCAATCTCTTGGTACTCGATGAATCACAATATAACGGATATGCTTTGTAATTGGGCGAATTTTATCGATGAACTGAAAAACACGTGGATTGCGTGATATATCGAATATCGTTGCTCTTGCTACCGTTCACCACTCGCCGAAGAATCTCGACCGCACAAAGAGAAAAAAAAAAAAGACACAGATAAACCTTAGAGGCGAGGTATCAGCGATTCTTCGATTATCACACTTTGAACTGCCTCTATCGACGAGGAAATTCGAATTTGTTTGTTCTTGGTCTCAATCAACCCTCAGAACGAGTTTATGTTCGACTAATACAATTTCTCATACATCATTCGTATAATTTATGAATTAACACGTATTAAATGTTAAAATCTAATTAAAATGATCGAAAATGTATATGAATAGAAAATATATGGGAAAAAAGAAAAAAAAAATATAGTTCTCGATCCGATCTGATTTATTCGATAGAAAAACGAGAAAGGGAAAGAAAATTATTGAAATGGCGACCAATAAATAAACGAATAAATCTCAATACTGATATTATTACACGGTTGGACGAGTCACCGGTGTTCTCTTACGCAGAATATATCCTTGCCAAGAGCAGCGCTTTTTTTCTCGCCGCGGAGAGGACGTAAAAATATACGTGGCTCGTTCTAAGGACGCGAGACATTTGGTCCTTGATTCTTCCTCGCATTAATAAAGATATAAGGCACGAGCGGATCTCTAAAGGCACCGGGCGAGTTTTTAGACGCTTCGTTTCTTACAACTTGATCGTATTAAAATATAATTATGTATACATATTTATATATATATATATATATATATATATATATAAATATATATATATAAACTCACTCTCTCTCCATCTATCAACGCTATATATAAATTTTTTTTGTACATACGCGAGCATTATGCTTATATATAATTATTTGTATATTTGTATAATGTGTGTATGTATAATGTATGTACGTTCTCTGCCTACACGTGGGTTTAAAATGTGGGGGCTCGCCCACGAAGTTTTTTCTCCCCACCACTTCGAACCAACCGTTCGTTCCCTTCATACCCCCGCCCTTTCTCCTCACCTTCCGTTCACACAGTTTGATGCACTTAAAAAATATTGCTTATACAATGTTTTATGCCTCGTTTAATAGACTCTTATGGGCTGTGCACACGAAACACATTCGTATACGCACGTACGAAAACTGTGCGCGCCAATATACACGTAAAAAAACATGCACGCATTTATTTCTCGCACTATCGAGCACGTTCTTCTTCTTCATCTCTTTCACTCTCTCTCTCACTCACTCATTCTCTCTCTCTCTCTCTCTCTTGCTCTCCCATCAGTCGGTTCGACGCTACGTTTATTATGTAAAACGTTTGTTATGGCATTATGTAATTCATTATGGCTTAAGATTACGCTATTTTATTGTACATTGCCACCTTGACCCTATCGGCGAACGCGGACAAGGTTAATATGGTTTCTTCTCCCGTCTTTCCGATTCTAAAAGTCGATTAATCGTTCCTTAAATGAAAATTCGTCGAAAAAAATCATTGCTTTCCAAAAATTCAGAAACACAAAAATAAATCGATATATAATTCGATAAAATTTGCTTGGAATTTATTATTTATTATTCCACTCGTATGCAAATATAAGACAAACGTCCAGGTAAATAATGTTCGACTAGCGCGTGCCACAATTCATTGCGAGCGCATCCTCGATGGCCGATAATGCTGTCGCAACGCGTGAGATTAGTCGCACTTGGAACGAGCTCGATTGAGCCTGAATATTGAAACATTGACGTAACTACTCTGTCTGCGATGGTAATTTACAAAATTGCCCTTCTTTGCCGCGACGTGCTCAATTGTCGGATCGTAGAACACTCGTGGAACGGTTATTTTCAGTTTTCCATCCAGAGGGAAACTTTCACAGCTTGATTAGTGTTACATCCAAAAAAAAAACCCGTGGCACACGTTGCGTCAACTATTTCGTTCCGATCGATTCTAATACAAGATAACTATAGATTATCAAAAGTAGAAAACATAACAAGGAATTTTCGAGTTATTTATTTTTTTTTTTTTTTTGACCAGAGAATCAGATACATTCTTTGCTACTTCAATGGTTGTCTTATAATAAAAATGAACGTGTTATCGACTCAAGAATCGAAATACATTGGCCGGATTCTATCAATCAGAGAACGAATGCTGAAAATATGAACGCGTGAATAATTTATAAGAATAATTAAGAACATTTCTCTCTCTCTCTCTCTCTCGTAGTTTTTTTTTTTGTGAATAAGTTTATTATAAATTAAAATTGTATTAACACTCGATATTAAACGATATTGCGTCCCTGTATGAAATTCTAATGTCTTTTATATATATATATATATCGTTTAAGGCACGCCGGTTTTTGCAAATCGATCTGGTGTCTTTATTAAAAATCTCCCCTCGTGATCAATCTCGCATTAAATCTCATCAATATATGTACATACTATTGATCAGAAATTTGAAATCACTTTTCTTTTCTTTTCTATATCATATATACGTATAAAATATTAACTGATAATGAATCAAAAAAATTTAATTCCATTCCATTTATTAAGACGAAAGTAAATTTGCATTACTAATAAGATAAATGTGCTCATTTTTGTTTGCACAAAATAGGTAATTGAACTCTAATTTAAACATTTTATAAATAATTGTATTTTATAACATCCATTATATATAATGATTCCAAATCTCTGATCGACAATGTACATAAAGAATATCGTACGCTTCGACAGAGATTGTCAAAAATCTATCGATCAATATCATAAAAATTTCTAAAACTACATTGTTGCGTTATCGATATTAAAAGTTTTTTTAACATGTAATTGATTCGTCGCTTTAACAGCCTTTCGAAGGCGCAAATTTGTACAAAATATATCTCTGTATACGAACTATGTAATTATAAATCTACTTGTAAATTTGTTCAGAATTAGATTACGCGTTTGATCTAGCAATAAGACCAGCGAGAAGAAAGGCACGAATGGCGAAGGCCTCGAACAGAAGCGGTCATATGAATTTTCTCGCGCTTCTCCTTCTTCGACCTTTCGTCCCTTCCCTTCTTCCTCGTGACCGAAAACTCGATATAAAAATATCCATGAATGGTCGTTCGAGCGAGAGGATCGAACCGAGCCACACAAAACAATTCATTACATTAATCGATTACGATTCGAGTTCGATCGGTTTGATCCTCCTGCGTCGTTCTATTTACATATTTACAGATAATCGACCGAGGAGGAAGGAAATGTGAGACTTGAGGGAAAATCGCGTGTTGACCGAGAGGCGAGAGAGGTTCTGGGAAACGAAAGAGAGGAAAAACGGAGACGAAACCCTGTCGTAATACTTGCTGTGTACCGTGCATGGGACACGGATGCGCGTATGGAAGAAATTCTTTGAGCAATTAAACGATATCTAATAGATTTGATCCTCGATTGAACGCGAAATAGGAAGAATTAATAATGATTCGTGGAAAATTCCAATGTCAAAAGGATAAAATTTTATTTGACATTGAAATAAGGAGTAATCATTAAAAATAATCGTTAAAATAATATTAAACAGAAATTATATTGTAAATAAATAATATTATTTGAAGTAACATTTTAAACAATATATAAAAAATTATCTGAAATAATTATTTCAAATGTGATTAGGTTTGATTTATCTATCCGGTGAATCGAGATTGAAAAATCAATGGACGAAAGCGAATAAAAGAAAAACTATAGTTATGAATCAAGAATTTTCCTCGAAATTTATAAAGATGATTACGCAACGAATCACGATGATGAGCCACGCTACCGAGTTTTCATCGTGATCGTTATCATTCAGAGACTGACATAATTCTATAATTATAGCCAATACACTCGACCTCTAAACGGCCTAGCCGATAGCCGTCGAACGAGTTAATCTCGATGATAAGATGCTATGAGAAAAATTTCTCCAAGAAAAATATTTCATCATGATAAATTTTCATGGAGAAGGGGAGAAAAAGAGAAGAGAAAAAGAAAGAGAGAGAAGGGAAAAAGAAAGAGAGAGGAGGAAAGGATTGAATAAACTTCGGAGAGTGGCAGAAAAAAAAATCAGATCAAAAAAAATTAAAGGATGCCAATTAAAGACGCGACCGTGTGTAATCTCTTTCCACATACCGTCTAATGGCCGATTAAAATTTTATCATGTTTTACGCGACGCCGACGATTGAGGAAACGATAAAGCTTACGTGGCATACGACGTGTCGTAGATCACGTACTAATCGATCCTGCTCGAGAAAATCCTTTCTAGAAGGATTTTTTCTCTTTTTTATTGACCGAATATCTAACAATCGATTTCATATCCTTGATCCGAATTATGGTTTCGTTTTTCATTTTTTCGAATTTAAATATCAACAACGATCGATTAAAAAAAATTTTTTTCGAGTTTAAATATTGATTTTTTGTGCATTTGATGTCGATTAATTTTACAATAAAATATTCGAAACATTCGAAACTTCCGTTTCGCGAAATCGAGGATCAAACAAATTTTCCAATTAAGTATAATGAGGACTTGCTGGATACCTAACGAACGCACTTCTAACCTGTGGGAACTCGTACGGACTTGGATGAGCTCTCCAGGATACCGGCAATCTCAGGCTTAATTCTAGAGCATAGTCATGGCCCCTGCCTTCGTTCAAATTGCAAATATTTTGGCAGTTGTTGTTGTTGTTGTTGTTATTGTTATTATTGTTGTTAATGATATTCTGGCTACTGATGGGAGACAAACCCCTTTGGACCGTCTGCTCTTTGGCCGGTTTGCTCACGGGATTGTCCAAATAAGGCTTGAACAGGATGGCATCCTTCTTGATCGTTGATCCTGAGGGCGGAGGCGCGACGGACGCCGGTGGCGTCGGCACAGTACTCGTCACAGGCTCCGTTCTCGACGCAGCTGCGTCGACGAACCTCTTTGGCTTCACCAGACAAAGCGGCATTTCCTGAGGAGGCACTTCTTGGCAGGAATTCGTCCTGATCTGATCTTCGATCTCTAGGCAAAGTCTCTTCGGCGACGATAGAGTCTCGTAACAGCATGAAAGAGTGCAATATTGCCTCTTTAACGGTGAGGACAGTTCTTCCGAGTGTTCGGAAACCGAGGTGATCTCCGACGAATATTCTCGGGGGGAATAACAGTACAATCTGGTCTGCGAGTCGGAGTAGCAAGATCCCCTTAAGGAGGTTTCCTGATAGCATGAGACAACCGGTGTCACGGCGTGGCCGTCCATGCAGCATGAAAGATTACAAGAAACGACAGGCTCGTTCTCGCAAGATACATCGACCATAGCGGTGTGTTGGTAATATGGAAGATGCTGCGAAGAACCAACATCGCAGCAATAAGGAGGCGATTGCTCGTACTCGACTTCGATTCGATCTTGCGATAAGCTGGAAACGTAGTTCGACGTCCTCAGATCTACCGGTGAGTCACCGGAAGCGGCATCCTGGATGGGACCGAGTCTCTGCCTCGAGTTTCCGCGAAGAGCGATCTCGCCCCGCAACTCTGTTTCTTGACCCAACCATTTTTGTACTTGACGCCGATTGATACCGAATTTTCTCGCCGTGGCGCGTTGATTGCCCGCCACACCGACGTCTCTGTGAAAAGCGTCGAGAACATCCAGCTTGAATCTTAGCGAGAATGATCGTCGACGAGTGAGATCGTTCGACGAATTTTGATTGGCGGAAGAACAGTCGAGTGGATCCATCTCGCTGTCAGAGCAACTGGTGCTGGATCTACCGGAGCTGGTCGGTCCTCGAGGACTCGGGGGCAACGAATATCCTTCTCGATCGTTCGCGGGGCTTACCGGGCACGAATCTGTGTGTGTTGGGAAAGCAGCAGGTGGTCGTTGATAATCAACGTACGAGGATGCAATGATAGCTTCTCTTCCCTCCTCACCGACCACCACCTCTTCCTCGAGTTGGATTTCTTTTTTGACCACTGCTTTACTGTTTTCTGTCTCCTCTGCTACGTCCTCGGTTCCCTTCTCCTCGATATGAATCGTTATTGTCGTTTCTTTCGACTCTCTCTGGTGCGAACGGTGCAGGGACGAGATCGGATTCTCGGAATCCGGTGTTGGTGACGCGTGTACGGATTCGTGTGCATGCTCATGCTCGTGCACGTGTATGCACGGGCTCGCAGAGGGCCGTGGAGAATCGAAGTGAACGGACATAGCCGAGCTGGAGCTGGAGCTGGAGCTGAATCCGGTGCCGTTGACTGAATGCGAAACAGGCGAGAGTGAGACTCTCGAGGCACCGGGGGAACTGGTGGATTCGCACGGCCCTGGCGTCGCCGCCGAGTCTGGGCTTGCTCGTTCCGTCTTTATCATCGACGGCGCTAGCAACAAACCGTACGATTTCCCGTCCATTGACGAATCCACGTCCCCGTAATTTTGCTGAGATCGATGGTGCATAGGCGAAGAACGATGCCGATGCAAAGAGGATGTTCCTACGATGATTTCATTTTCGTTACCGAATCGATCTTGTTGAAGAGGTACTCGATACGATGTCAGGGTCTGGTACACCTTCGCCTCGTTCCGACCATCGAAATTATCGAGTTCCCCTCGTTGACCGTCCGAATTTAGAACGTAATAATTTGGTTCTTGATCCGCACGTGTCTCCGAATAACCCTGAACGTCCACCTGTATTCGATCGTCCGTTTCCCGACGAGAATGTTGTTGCTCTGAATTGACAGAATATTCTTGATAACCAAGACGAACGGATAAAACCGGCGCCGTTCCAGATTGGGAAACATATTGGGACGAAGAGGATGAACCACCATGAGGAGGATGAGAAAGAAGAGGTGGGGGCCCTTGCTGTGTAGCCAGCTCGTCGCCGTGCAGTCTGGCGAGGCTGAGGTTCAAGGCCGGCGCTGCTGGAGTCACGGCAGGCCCCGTGGCTTCCGTCACGGTACCGTCCGGCTTGGAAACACCCACGGGAGAGATCACCGTTGTCGAGACAACTCCGGTATTACCAGTCTCGGCACAACTATTTCTCAAATTATCCTCGCACTGTAACCACTTTTGTATTTGACGTCGATGAATCCCGTACTTCCTTGCGGTGGCTCGTTGATTTCCACGACAATCGATGTCGTTTCTATACGAATCGAGAACCTTGAGTTTGAAGGCCGGCGCGAATATCCGTCTACTTCCCATCACACCGACCGATTTCCTCGGATTCTGTTGCTGTTGTTGCTGTTTTTGATGCACCATTTTCACTGTGCTTCCTTCACTGAGCACTTCGTTTACGCCATGAGCCATAACGTATATTTTCACACACCGAACTTTTCCGCACCGTGACGATGACCGTCACGTCAAACACGAGAACGAGAACGACGACGACGATGACGACGATGAGCTTCGAAACCGGGCACTGCTAACGATGCGATGTACGGGGGTACCTTAACGCGTAACATTGCACGAAGTGGCCTGGTCGCGCCGCGCACGGAGTTCCTTTTAGGTCTTGGTAGATGCCGTAACTAATTTTCATCCCCACTACTACTAGCGGACTGCGGCTGCTTCCCACTGAAACGATCTTTCCCTTCCCCTCTCAGGCCACCAGCTCGCTCTCTCACTCTATCGCCCCTTGCCGCGCACTCTCCTACTCCCGGCCACACTCTCTCACTGTACTTCCCCTACTTTCCTACTCAGTCGTACTCTCGTTCCTTCTTTCTTCACGTTACGACCAATCAATTTTCCGTTCTTTTCTCTCTATCCAGCAAGCTCCCCTCAACGTCATCCCACTCGTGTAGCACAGGCGCTAGTCCACCGCCGCCGGCCACTAGTCATTCTTCTTTCTTTGCGCCACCGACCTAACCTCCACCAACTTCTCTCTTTCTATGACTCTCGTCATCCTGCCTGACTGCCTGCACCCGTAGGCGCCCCACCCGCCCCTCTCACCGTCACACCCTCTCGCCTTCTATCCTCCCTTTCACACCTCAGCTCCGTAAAACTCCGCCATTTTGTGTGCTCACTTCCGTTAATGACGCGCGCGGGAAACGTCACGCCAGCGTGACGACGCTCTCGGCGCCATATTGTCTGCTGTGCTCGTCTGACTGCTTGCCTGCCCGTTCGCTCGCTCGCTGCTTACCAACTCTCGGTCCGCGCTAGCCAGCATGGAGCCGTGATTTTTGCTCGCCTTTCTCTTAGCGACTTGACCGTGCCTTTTCTCGGTATTACGATAACATATGCTACGCTGAATTTCGTTCTGTTCATTGAATCGCAATCGAACCCATCGAAGGAGCGTTAAAAGAATAGCAAACACGACTCGAGTTACGATGTTTTCTCGTGTGGCTGAGATTAGGCGTGTTATCTAGGTTAAATCGTTGAAGACCTACGTCAGACTTCGCATACGGTACGATTCTTGAAAGTTTGCCGTAGACGAGCGCCAACTCGGCGACCGTCGTCTAGGAAGTTTTATTGGCATCGAATAAGGGGAAAGGCCGGTGAGGTAAGGGGATTTTGCCTTCCAGGAAAAATACCCATGGCCGTGTCAACTTTGCTGGTATTGGTAATCTCCTAGGGTCGAGGAGCCGTTCCTATTATAGCCCCAGTGGGGTAATGCGATCTGTATTGTTCTTTGCTGGTTATTACCAGACCATTCTACCGACTTACCGTTACGAGTCACTGTTGGATAGTTATTCATACTTTTCGTCCTGTTCTTATTTTTCATTTCTCGAATGCTCTTATCCACTTCTAGTTATCTCTGAATGAGATTTCGAAGCGTGCATGCGGATCACACGTTCCTTGCATATACATACGTAGTGGAATGAGATCATGTTGTTTTTGTGGCGTGAGCCGACAGTTAATATGTTTAGCTTTACGCGCGGTTGCCATATCGCTGAGCCGCACGTAGGCCGCAACGTATACGGACGTGGAGAGACCTGCGAGCAATGACGCAAGCCGCGTGTTAGTAACTATATACTTTGAAGAAATAAGAGCGAGCGAGACAATTCGCATAGAAAGAAACGAACCGAGGCCTCGTAAATTTCCACGATTCGCGCCACCAGCAGAAACTGAGACCCGTCCGATCCTTCTGTCGTTCCACGAAGGAGCACCCTACTGCATTTCTAAGAATCTTGCTGGTTATTCTCGCTCCGTCGATTATACCGATTCCAAACTTTCCTAAATAATATCTGACAACTACAAACGTTGTGCCGAGAGGATACCTGACTGAATATAATTTGACCTTCGCATAGTTTTATAAGTGTATATCATCATATATATCATTTTGTATTTTATGCTCGTTATAAAAAGAATAGAAAGAAGGTTTCATTTCCTTTCGTTTTATGAAATGTCAATCATCAAACTTTTTGCAATCAAATTCTTTATTTAATCGTAATCAAACTCTGTCCGTTCATTAAAAAGAACGAGCGATCATGAATATCGGTAAGAGGCATAGCAGTAGCAGACCGGCAGTCGCCTAAGTACGCCACGACGGCTGACACGTTCATCGGATTTGTCCTTGAGGCCGAAGGTAGGTGCAGCTCGAAGTCCGAGGACGTGGCAACGCAGCGGCCAGGCTCCCCCTCCTTTGTCCGTCGGCCGGTCTTGCCAGACAGGGTGTCGCCAGCTCGGTCGGACGGGCCGTCCGGATTGCTGTGAGGGGAGAGGAGAAACGAACAACCCGATGGTGTAAAGGGGCAAGGGGATTCTGTGGGTTAGTGTCAGTATAAGTGTGTGACGGAGCAGGCATTAGGGGAAGGAGCACGTTATGAGAGGGAATCGTTCCGAACAGATTATACAGGCGAAACGAAGAGAAACAAGAATAAGAAAGAGAAAGAAAGAGGAGATCTTGTAGTTTGTAAGGTCGAACATGTGTGCGTGTTATACGATCGGTCGTGGACCTACATTCACGTGGGTAGCCATGTTTGAAAACTCGCGTCCCGCTGGAATGTAGCCTGCTGGGGCCCCTTCGTTGATTTCCCCTCTTTCTCCTTCCACAATGCCGCCCTATGCGTTCTACAGTTCAAAGCTCGACACAACGATGCTCGAACGCCTACCTTCGTCTCTACTAGTCCCTCTGGACTCTTCTTCTCTGTTCTTCTTTGCTCTCCTATGGTTTTCCCTTCTATCAGTCCTTCCTCCCGCTCCTTTCACCTCCTCGGCGCTCCATGCTTGGCGCCCCAAATGGTCGCGTAACCAGAGACGCGCCTCTTGCCTGGCCTGGCTTGGCCTGGTCGCGCCAGACTTCTCGGCGCCCAAATGATGTACGCCGACCATTCTCTTTCCCTCTTTCTCCTCCATGTTCGTTTGCTTGAGATCTGTAGCCTTCGCTTTCCTTGCTCTCTTTTCACGCACTTGTACTTGTTCTGTGTGTATGCGTATGTGCACACGACAAAGGATAGAATTAACGGATTGAGAGTAAGAGTGAGCGAGATAAGTGTACTTCTATTTACCACTGCCTTGACTTGCGACACCTCACCTTTGAATTCTATGTACTGTACTACTCATATGGCCCTTACCTACCTTACTTATGCGGCAAAAGCCACGTGAGAATGCGAATGTGAAAGAAAAGGGTGTTACGGTCATAATTCTTTGCAAAAAACGCATTAGACGGTTCTTTCCGCTATCCTTGTCTGTTACTTGAACATAGAGGTATCTTTCAAGGGTTCTTGGCGAGACAGGCTGTCGTCTATGATACTTATTTTGTTCAAACGATTGATTAAATCTTGTCTGAGTTGAAACTGTTCATGTTTTCATATAATTGGCTTCTGTTCAATGTATAATATTAGTTTGTTATGTATTTATTACAACACGTTTCAAGCGAATTTCTATTAAATTGTTTTATTATTCTATTCGATCAATTATATCTTCGTTTATCTTTAAATATCATACAATCATTTTATGTATATCATACAATCAAATTTAGAGGAAGAAATATTAAAATAATATACATTATAGTATAATAAAATTATAGTATAATATATATAATAATTAGTCATAAATGATACAAAAAAAAATAACAGTTAAATATGTACTTAGGCTCTTTTGTCCAGAATGAAGAGCACTTGCTAAAATTGCAGACCCGAGTTTATAACTGAAGTTTATTTACGTACATGCTAACTGGGAGAGCGCCACACGTGCATCAGTGCATATAGTTCTATTGCTGTGTATTAATGTTTGCATTGTATACGTTATCTTTTATATATGTGAATGTATATGTGTTTGTATTTTAATCACATAGATATATTGTAATAGATTACATGCATATATGCACATAAGAATTCCGTCATTGTATTTTCAATATTAAATTTTATAATCTGAAAACTTTAAAAAATGAAATGCAATGTGAATTTGAAATATATCAAATGATACAGCCTTGATTAACAATATATATATAAAAGTTAAGCGTCATAGTCGCATCGTTTGCCCACGTACGGATGCAGAAATATACCTTCTCCGTGGGCGGTCACACGATGGCGCCTACTCGCGCATACCTGCGCATACCTGTAGACTAGGCTAACCTCGCAAAAAGAAACTCTCATTTCATCGAGATTATTCGATTCATTCGTTTGCACAATCCATTCGCTTTTTTACGATATTGTGAAGACAAAGAAGAAAAAAGACGAAAAAGAAAAGAGAAAAAAAAAAGAATGCATAGAAAGAAAAAGCATTATCAGAAACGAACGCAAGGATCGAAGTGCACACGAATAAAGCGAAATACAACAACGCCTACGTTTGCGATTTCACGAGAAACGTACACATGCTAACCTTTATCTTATCATTGGCGAAGGCGTATCGAGGTTGACGAGGTTGCCATACGTTTGCTTTTGGTACGACGATGAAAGACAACGACGACACGGATGATCACGATTCCAAACGATTACTAGCATCTTTCATACTTCGTTTCCGCGAAAACCTTGAATTCAAATACGGGATCGTTACGGGTGTAGTCTCGCTCTGACCTCGTTGTCCACTACGTCGCGATTTGCTTTATCGACCGAGTAGTAAAAAATTAAAGGCTTAAAAAGTTGCGCATTATCCGCTTTATCGACATTCAAACGTCGCTTTTAATCAGATTTTTTCATTGAATTTTTTTTTCTTTTCGTGATTTATTGAGATTATTTAATTATTTAATTATTTAATTATTTGTATTGTTATATTGGTGCATTTATATTATTTCCATTAAAATATATTTATTCTTCTATCAAATGAAACTTTTCAACTTGTTCAAATTATTTTAATATTCATAAATATGTTTAGTTCTCAAATTGGATTAAAACCATAAAATTTATTGTGACCAATGATATTCATTGCTGTTCAAATGATTCAGTCGTTTCATTGGTATTGCAAAAGCTCTTTTAACGAGCGACTGAAAATATTTATCATTTAGATAACCGCTGTCTTCGAGGGTCGAGAGCAGTTAAATTTGTTATCGATTAATGCTAGCCTTTGAAACCTCATTAAAACATGACTCGTCATCGATATATACTTCTTCAGAACATTTAGAATGCAACGTTAATTGCAATTTTTTTCCAATTTTTTCCAATCATTGATAAATATGAATGTTTTTTTTTTTGCTTAATTTACCTAATACTTATCTAATAAATTTAAAAAATTAACATTACTATACAACCATCTTCAAAATTTTTTTGATTAATGCAATTGCAATCTATTTTTAAACGAAAATGCCGCAATTATTTTTATCTAGAGTCAACTGACTATTCATCGACAGTAAGCGTATCAAGTGATTCATATTATTACTTGTCACAATAATAAACGCATACATGTGCATCTTTAACACGCGCTCTTATACAGATTTGAGTTCGAATTGTTGGATGTCGACCAATTATTTCAATTTGTTTACGCGTCTGATTGTTCAGCTCATCGACAATTACTGATAACAATCTCGAGTTGCATTTTACCAGAATTTTATAAAATCGTATGATGAGAGTTTGCGCAATGGAAATACATTGATAATAATATCAATTATCAAATGGAAAGAAAAGGAAATAAGGTGTTTTCAAAAAATTGATCTTCGTTTAATTATTAAAACATTCACGTACATAAATAGAATACAAGTGATATTGATGCGTGTATGTATATTTCAATACTTATTATCGATCCAATAATATATACATTTATTTTTTTTTTTCATTTTTGTCTTTGAGAATTGATTTACAAAATTCATTTTAATCATTACTCCGATAAATGCAAGTAAACAGGAATAGTTGAAGATATCATAAAGAAAAACTTTATAAATAATTATTTGTATTTGTTCCAACTATTATTCCTTTTATATTCTTTTTTGATACTTATCATGTAAAGCAATATTTAAATGATATTTAATGCAATTTATACAAAAATATGATTACTGTCGCTATTATGTATTTTATGATTGTGTTTCTTGCTACTATTCTTCTTCTGCATTACGAGACGTTACAAGATTACAATCAATTATAAACATATGTTCCAATCAAATGTCACATGTTTTGTCCTGTTCCAATTAGATAAGATGTGAATGATTGATATTATCATTTATTTTAACAATGATTTTTTAATTTACATTTATTTGTATCAATCATTTTTATGTGATGATATAAATCTGATAAATATAAAAATTAAAATTTGATGAGACTTGGATATATAATTATTTTGATATAAAATTTCTTGAAATGTGTGAATCTAATAATTCCGGAAAAATTGTTTTTCTTACAATTCATATCAAACAATCAGCATTTTAATTCTTATCAGATGATTTTATATATTAATCTTTCAATTGCAATATTAAATTTGCCGTAGTTTTTTTCTCCTCAATAATGATTTTTCAATCGATTCAATAAAAACATGAAAGATAGGATTTTGGAGCTATCAATAGAAACACCATCTTTCTTCACACGTAGCTGAAGATCGAATCTATTAAATCGTGACGAAAAAAAAAATTCTCTCTTTCTCTCTCTCTCTCTTTCTCTCTTTCTCTCTCTCTCTCGTTCGTTCTTTCATTTCTTTTTTCTTCTTTCTACTTATGCTTACATGCTCCGTTTATTTTCTACCTTAAATGCTAGTTGTATCGTTAGAAACGTTAGTGAAGCGTGAACCTTTAAATATCGCTAGTCTTGATACGGGTTACAAGTCGATTTCCGCGGAGTAAAAAATGTGGCCAGGGCTGTGCCGGACGATAGTCGATCGAGGGGTCATTTATCTCGCCGGCAACGACCTGGAAAGTCATCCAGAGGTTAATATGCAAAGCGTATGAAGAGAAGGAGAGAGTAAGTTGCTCGTTCCACCTCGTTCTCCTTGCAACCCGATCAGAAATAGCCCTTAAGAGATAAGACAGTTAGCAGTGTCTAAAATGTCCTTAAATAAAGTGTACTTATTACAACGTTTGTCGTCAGGGTGTCCCTGGTTGCTCTTAGAGAAAAGAACGTAGTTAATCGCGGATCGGGGAACAATTTTTTTTTCGTCCAATCGACGAAATGCCACGATCAGATTCATTTTCGTTTTTTTTTTTTTTTTTTTNTTTTTTTTTTTTTTTTTTTTTTCTCGATACGAGGAAGGCGATGCCAAAAGAAAATATCCATTCCGATACACATAAAACTTTCGACAATTGCTCTCGAGAATATTTTTTTTCGTGGAACAATACATTGAAAGTAACCTTCAACCTCTCGATATAATAAAAAATAGAATAAGTCTTGAGAGCAATTATCGAGAGTTTTACACCGAAACGTATTCGCACTCTATTTATTTTACTTTACCACAGTTTCATCGTCCTCGAGAAAATCAATGTTCCGCGACTCGCTACGAAATATTGCACGCAAGATCCCTGCGATCTTCGACCCATGCGATCTAAAAGATCCGATATGTACGATAAATATTATGTATAAATGAATGGAATGTCAGATGTAAAATGTGTAAGTGTAGAGCTTAAGTCCCATAATATATTCTGAAACCAATGTTGTTTGCCTATATTTATCCTTGTCTACGAAATCGATCCTCAATATGTATGTAAAATTTAATCCCCCTTACGAAGCGTTGCACAAGTGGCAAGTCTCGTGATCCTCGTCACTTGCTCACATCGTCGAAATTAAATTTAAAATTATATTTAAAGTGTTCTATAATGAGTATGCTTTTATCATAGTCAATCAGAAAGATTTTTTTCGGAGTGTTGCACAAGCGGCTTGTGACTTCCGCCATGTGCAAGATCCCGATATCTAAACGATACACCTCCATATTTTTTTTAGGGATACCCTCTATTTTCTCACTTTCAATTCAATTTTCCTTCGTTAAGATTACACTTGGAGATTCTTCGAGGATAAGGGATATCTGTATTACGATTAATTCAATTGCTTGTTTTCTCGCCTAATGTGTAGTAAATAATAAGTCCCCGATGATAAGCATCGCGATAAATCCGAAACCGCAATATCTGAGAAAATGTACGTACGATGTAGTCTGCGCGGAAAAATGGACGCTTATTGCACGGCTCGACTCCCCGCTTCCTGGAACCAGTGTTTCGCGCGAAACGTGAGTAATATCGAGAATGACGGTGCGAAGTCGTAATTTTTCCACGCGTCTACACAAACACGTGTCTCTCGGGTTCATCGCGTGCAAGTCTAGTAACACGTACTAACGACGCGTTACGCGAGGTGAGTTTGCACTTTATCCGTAATTTTTCTGGTCGCTACTCTTGTCACCAGCCGAGAGATTCTCGGTGAGCCTTGGGCCACGGCAGGAAATCTTCAGGGCATCATTTTGCGGGGTGACAACCATTTCTTCATGTAGTAACAAAAGATCGTGGAAATGTAGATGAGGACAAGCAGGGCACACGTCACGCCCAGAATTAATACCGAGGTCTTTGTTGGACAGGGCTCCACAATGGTCACCGTTTTGTCTGGGAAATAAAATTGAAATATTTTTTTTTTTTTTTTGTTGCTCGCGATATAACGAGTTCTGGGTAATTGAAGTTCGCGTAATTACCGGCTTCGTTGAAGTCTATGCTGGCGTCACTCTTCAAGAAGTCAGACTGTTTCTCGTCACCAAAATCGAGAACAAGGATTTCCTGAGACAACGTCATATCCTCTGCTTTTTCCTCCGTAGCGTTTGCGAGACTTCTTCGACGCCTCTTGCCCCATGACTCTACCGATTCTCGTCCCCATTCGCAGACAGCCTGTGATCAATCAACATTCTCATATTTTTCATCGACGAAATGATAATACAGATTAACCTGGAATTTGTTCAATTACCGGTTCGCACGGTCCTAGACAATACTTGACGTTACATTGGAAAATAACACCATAAGACTCGGTGAATCTGAATGCTTCGTAGACAGATTGAAGCGCGTTTCCATCAGGCGTGAAGCTTGGGAAGATCGACGGATCCACTGGACATCTGGAAGATTCGAAAATTCATCCATTTAACCAATTATCGATTCGATATTGTTAGAATAATATTTAAGAGATACACAAATTCCCAACCCTTCATCATCAATGATCTGGAAGGTACTCTTCGAGTCCTTTGCCATGGCGACGCAACTTCGAGCAAAGATTCCATAGGGAGCTATTAATTTGAAATGGTCAATATATTATGAAAACGTGCATCTTGATATTAAATCTAACGCTTACTGTCTTCCGGGATTTCGATTCTGAATGTCAGCTTGTCTCCTATACGGACAGTCTCAACTTCTCTGGATCTGCTGTCGAGGATGCGTATCCTTGGTGGAGGGGCTTCCGGCGCGCTGGTGATGCTGATCATTTCCGGGTCCCTGATAGGCATCATGCCAAAAGTGATGTTCTTCGAGGACATGTCGTACGTGCACTTCACCTTGTAAATTTTGTCGGCCTTGGTCATCACAACGGAATGATGCTGGAGGACGACCGTGTTCGAGTAGATGCCAGTCTGAAAACCGTCACGCTGCCATAGTGAACAGAGAGGATTTGAACAGGATTTAACGAGTCGAGCGGATAAATTTTGCCAGAGCGTGAACTCTGTATGATATTACAATCACTTACCACACTCTGAGTGTTACAATCCTGCCCGCTCATGGTCAAGTCGAGCCTGAAGAGATCGCTATTGATAACATCGATGTTGCAAGTTTCAGAGCGGCCAAGGGCGTAAATGCGACCGTTAAAAGGCTTATTCGTACGAACTTGAACGGCTATTCGGGTGTCTTTACAGTCAACCGATACTGCAATTATATTTTACGATTCTTTATTGACAGGATTTCACTAATGAAAACGGTTTCTAAATTATTCGTTTATTGATCAGTTAATGGCGAAGTCTAATGATAAACATACGTACCGTCGTAGCAGGTACCAGTTTTATCGCAATTTATGTCGTTTCTCGTGAGATTATTTATGGTAGGGTCTTCCGTAGTTTCAAAGACAACTGGTGGATCCGCAACTGGGCCTGTACCTTCTGAAAATCCGATTCGACACGTCAAATAGCATATACATGTACATAACATCTGTTTTATTTAAATAAGATGCCTTTTTGAGAAAAGAAAAATGAAAAATATTATATAAAAAATAAGAAAAGTATGAATAACAAAGTATCGTTTCTTTTATATATCTTAAGTCTTTTATATCTTCTAAATTAATGTTTTTCCATTTACTTTGCATAAATAGCTAATATTATATTTTTATAAGAAATAAGCTGTATTAGAAATTAATTCTATTTAAAAAAAGGAACGTCATTTTTATATGACGCGTTCATTTTCTGAAATTATATTTCTTATATCGAACAATTGTTATAGAAACATTTTCTTCATTCTAATATTTGTTTCTCAAAAGATATTTCAAAAGGAGAAATAAAATTTAAGAGATCCGTCCTCACTTTCACAATAATTCTCAAAATATGTTCCAACTCTCTCTCCATTATCAATCAATGGTCGTTCTGCATTGAGATAAGTTGAAGGACCATCGGGAAGAGTCCAATGATCAAGATGGAACAGCTGGCAATTATACGCTGATCCTTGAGGAGCGCCACGATACAGGAAAGATCTACAGAGGAACTCGTTCTCGATGTCGCAAGCAAGTCTACACGCGGACTCGCTTTGAACTTGCAATTCTTTGTCCGTGTAATAATGTAATCCCGCGTATTGAGCAACTTTATCGTCGGCCACTCCGATTCGTGGCATCTGGAAGATCCTCTGAGATTTGCATGCCTCTTTTCCTGAAAATTTCGATTTCTTCAGTAAACTTTCATGTTTATTTATACACATTCCTCCATTCAAAGTCTTAGGACATACGAGGACATTTCTCAATCTTTTTGTAAATAATTTCACACATTATATTTGTTTATAATATTACCGGAAACGGGACTATCCCCTCTAATTCTACCATTTCTCCCCCTGCGACGAAATGACGTCACATTATCCCCACTCGCCATTATACAAATTAAATAAAAATACATCACGTGACCTGATTTCCGCCAAAACCAAATGTCGTGTCACATGACATGCTTCTGTCTGAGCAGTGGAAATAATATGACGTCATATATGCGAAAATTCGCTGCAGGGAAAAAATTGAATCATTTTTAATAGAAGGGAATACTTGTCCAGCAATTCTGACCACGTTTTTAATACAATGTTTTTAAAAATCTGATAAATTGAAGTCATATAAATGAACAAAATTCTTAAATTGGATATTAATCTATATATTAACAATTTCTTTAAAAATTACAAATACAATTAAAATTTACAATTTAAATGAAATACTAGAGAAATATTCTGAGATAGAAATAATAATTATCCTAAGACTTCTCAGGAAGAATATCTTTATCCTCCAATATATATATATTCCTGCCTATTTTTACCTTTCAAACACAGATTTTCGAAATAATCGACACCCTGGGCATCCACGAATTGCACGTATTGCCCGGTCGTTCTTCGATCGGAATCGCTCAAGTGACACTGCAGTGTTACGTAATTATATTCGACGGAACGACAGGTGAAACGGTGTTCGTTCAAACAAGCCGCGAGACAGGCCTCCTTCGTCGAGGTGTAGATCAAAGCGTTGTCCAGTCCACGGATCATTTTGTTCGGGACGCGTTCGAAGGACCATGGCCGCAAGCAGACATTTTCTGAAAAATGATTTTTTCGTCCGATTAGTGAGATGACGATTGAAATAACTCGTCTCGAAAACGAGTCTCGCGTCTCGTATGATTTTACGATGCGTGAAATGTTTTTGTTTATAGAGAGGAAGAACACGTGGGTGTATACGCCTGACCGCAGTCGCGACGTTTGCACACCTGACGAAGCACATGCAGACAGCAGGGAGTATTTTCTTACGTAACGCTCAAATATGCCACATGAGCCTCGTATACCGACACCTGTAGCCACTGAGAGAGAGAGAGAGAGAGAATTAAATACAGCATCGGAACGCTAGTTACTTCTAATTTCGTATCCCTCATCAACACTTTTAGATCTGAATGTTTTCGATCCTCTTTGGTATGTTTCACATGTTTATGCGTTATTTTTATTTGCCTGACTAAACAAGCCAGCAAAATAGACACTGCTTTTTTTTTTAGATCAGTGCCAGTGATTGGATTTATCATTTCATGTTGAAAAAATTTTCGAATTGTTATATATTTCTTCCATCATATTGCATAGAATTTATCAAAAATAAATTTAATTCCTTTTTTAAAAATAACAATTATTATTATTAAGACTTTTAGAAATATATTCGTAAAAGTTTCAAATTCTACATTTCCAACTCATCACTATAACTCATCGATATAAAAAAAGGGAAAAGCGAAACAAAAAGATCTCTAAAATTCTCTGTGATCCGAAATAATTTATCGTCTTAAAAAGGTCAAGGTCATCCCAAAGTCACCCCCAAACAACGCTCAGTCTGCCAAGATAATTACAATTCCCCTACCACTCCCCTACATATTTCCAATTGTAATGCGTGAAAAAAAAAAAAAAAAAGAAAAAACGCAGAAGAATGCGCCGCATGAAGGGATGGATCGAGGAAATTAAGTTATGCTATATCCGTTTGATATATCGAGGAAATGTGGCGAATTTCTCGGATCACGCGAGCGTGACGGCCGCGAGACGAGCACGGGTCGAGGCTTCGTCGATGATGATGATGATGCCGAAATCACGGGTCGGGATCACATGTGACTTGGCACAAGCGTGATCCCGCCGCGCTTCTCGTGACGCGAAGAACGAGAATACGCGTAATATACGTTTTCGAGGCGGACACCGCGCCAAACACCGTTCCAATTACTTTTGTTCCGCCCTCGAAACCGGCGCTAATGTCGACCGGCGATATCGTGCCAACGAACCGACGCGTGATGACTCCTCATGATTCACCTGCGACCGCGCGAATTCCTGAATCGATTTTTTTTTTCGAAGTTTTAATCCTTTTTTTTTCTTTTTTTTTTTTTTTTTTTTCTAAGGAAAAAATTACTTTATGATATTAGGGTAGAAACGATTGAAATTGGTTTTTAATTTAATAAAGATTAATTGATTTAGCTGTTTTATTAGGAATAGGAATTTAATTGTAAGTATGTGTATATATATATATAGATTGATTTTTGCATTTCTTAAATGTTTATGCAATGGGCTCTCTTACTGTTAATCTATTGTGACATTAAAAGCTTACAATTAGCTAGATAAAAGAATAACCGGTTAATTCGATAATTATTCGCAATTACGATATTGAATATTTTCTGTTTATATGCATTTAGAATTTAGATACGTTATCTATGAATATATGGTAGATACATGATACTATTAATTTGATGAAAATAACAAGTTGTTTATCAGTGTTTGAAAAAAAAAAAAAAAGAAAAAGGTAAAGAGAAACGTGGAATTAATTTGAAAATCGCTCTACTCTGTTATTAGGAAATTAAGAAAAAATATAAGATATCACCATCAATATGATATAACATTATCAATATATTAACACATAAAAAAATAGGAACTAAAAGATAAAGAAAAAAAAAAGATCACGATTTGTTTCCATGGCAACTATATAACGCAAGAATGGGATCTTCTGCAATTTTAGATTATATTTTTATCATTATCCTCCAATATAAATAACGTAAAAAAATTTCCCCGTGAAAAGATATTAAACGCACTAAATGAAATTCCAACCGAATACCGCAGTTGGAACTTTTTAAAAATACGCTCAACTTCTCTTAACTATTTTCGTGCATCTTGAATCGCTCTCCTCCGACGTTGGAGGAGGAGAATACTCGCGATTTCCCCTGGAAATATTTTGGAACGCACGATGAACCGGCGTTGAACTCTGTTATCTGCGTGACTCACGCGAATCCGTTAATATTAATCGTTGTGGGCTGTTTTAATTTTCTCAAATTAAACGGTGCTCGGTTGCGTAAAATTTTGCACGAGCCAAATGATGACGCGCGATTTACCCATCGTCTCTGCAAATTCTTAACGTGTCGAGGCCTCGATGACTGTGGGGGACGACTCTGTTTCGTCTGTTCCCGGTTATTTTAAGAGAGGAAGGATTTCGAACGGAAGTGCCAGCTGAAAAACGCGTCGTTCCTAATAAACGGGGATCTCGAGGGAACAGGGGATCCAGGGATCCGTTTTTCACAGTTTTTTGAGTCATTGCGCGTTCAGAAAATTCTAATAACGCAAGCTGGATGTAGATAAAAATTTTTTTTTTTTTTTTTTAAGAATGATTTCAATCTTGTCTTTTGCTCAAAGAGTATTAATTTACAACGTCAAAGGATTAAAATATTTGTCAACTCGAAAATTACTAGTCTTTTTTAATATATTATATTATATTTTTATATATTATATATTATATTATATATTATTTTTATATATTATTTTATATATTATATTATATATTATATATTATTTAAAATTTTCTTTAAAATCGTCGAAGCAAGAATAAATTTCCCTTTCGTTCCAAAGTCTTAAGTGCTTCCCCTTCACCCGTTCAAAGAAGCATTGAATCAAGGAGCAATTAGCACGATACCATTTGATAATACAAGATCTTTAACGAAAGATAACCGAGTAAAACTTGAATTATCCCGTTCTCCTATCTATCCAACATCGTAAATTAAAATACTGTGGCAAGGCTCGATCGATCGTCCGATAATGGAAAGTAATCGGTGTTTTCGAGGAAACGGAGAGCCTTTCTCGAAATTTTCCATTGTCGTTCGAGCGCATAACCTGTGCACGGTCTGCGAACGTCCCCCGAAAAGTGTCCACTCCGTCACAGAGTGTTTTACGACCGCCGCGCCGAGATAGTTGGAAGGATCGAAGGTACCAGCAGGCTCGTTAAACCAATATTAGGAGTTTCTTAGACCCCCTTGGGATCTTTTCGACACCTTGGGCTGCAGGTACCTGTTTACAAGGGAGACCGTACTTAAAGCATCCTTCACACCACCCGAAGAGTACCAGTAGATCTCTCATTGTTTGCCACCATCCGGTTCCCCTTCTTTGGCAAAACGTTCTTGCCGCTTGCACCAACCGAGGATGTGCCTTTTGTGTATTGTATGCCTAGGGCCTTCGGCAGTTCCTCACTTGAACTCGATTGAATGGCGCATTTTAAATATTTAGAAAATTTTAAATATTCCCTTCTTCCGTTCTTTTTATCTTTACCGATTTTCAATAAAGTCTCACTTTCAATTTTTAAGAGATATTTTGGAGATATGAATTACAATTCGAGTCTGCTCGAAGAAGAAAGGTTTAATATATCGCTTTTGTTAAATTTTAGAAATCGTATTTTTAAGAAAATTTCTTTTTCTGGTACTACTTGATAAATTGGAAGATAAAATGGTTTTGAGTTACAAGTATACCGTTTTAACACTTATTTAATCGATATATATTGTCGTTCAAAGTATCTGGAATCATTAACATTAACTCGTAGAATTTAAAAAAGAATTAGAATTTTGTTTGCGTCTTCGAAAGTAATTATAATTATTTTTAATATTTGGTATTTTTTGATTTAATATCAAAATTAATAAAAGATACGATTACAATTGAGAAAATGATTCCACTTTAACTCCAATGAATTTCTAAATTTATCATATATAGCATAACAGAAATTTACATAATTCTATATACAGCAATATATTTCATTTGTAATCAAAAAAAAAAAAAAAAAAAATTCTAATCCACACGATCTGGTTAAAGATATCCAATTTTAAATAATCTTTTTTAACCAATAGATTCAAAATTCAAATTGCATTTCCTTTCTATTCATCGAGTACTACCAGAGAACACACACACACACACATATACACAGAATTTAGAAAAAAATAATACTAAACATTTTACCATTGTTTCGCAATGTGTTACATTCGGTTTCAGTACAGTCTGTTCAAGCAACTATCCACTCGAGCCAACAACTACCGGCTTCCAGGTTTATTTGCACATCTACCTGTCCCCAAACGACTTCGCCACTAGCTTTTAAACCCGGATTATCGCGTCTCGTCTCTCTCTCTCTCCTTCCCTTCCTTCGCCAATACTTATATTGCGGGATTTTTCTTCGACGTCCTCGTCCTTCTCTTATCCCCCTTTGTTCCTTTGCCGGCCACATCTCGAAATGGTTTACCGCTCGGGTGAAAGGGAAGACCAGCCAAGGGGGTGTGGCGGGTATTACCATTCATTAACCGACTCGTGCTGGTGGCTCGATTATGTCGAAGGGTTTAAAGGCTCTCAAGGTCGAATCTTTCGTTGCAGGTGCGGGCAACGTCGCAACGATCGAAAGCTACAAAGTTTCGAAAGCTGAGTGGAAGCGAAGAGTCGGGTTTCTGCCCTCACCTGATCTGATCTGAAGCTTAGTCATGTAGTACATGTTGGCGGCTCTTTGCGGTTGTGCCGCGGGATTCGTCGCCGCCGTCTCGTTCTGCAGCTGGCACAGGGTGTCCTGCATCGGCGCCAAAGGATTTACGACGAACGAGAACGCAGCCGCCTGACACTCGGCCTCCTCGCGGCACCAGCCCTGACACTCGTACAGGGACAGGTTCCTCACGCTGTAGTACGTCGTTCCGCGGTAATCGTAGTCTGTCAGCTTCTCGAACGCTGTCCTAGCTGGAAAGCGGTTCCATTTGAAGGAAGAAGGAAAAAGAAAAAGGAGAAAACAAGGAAGAAGTGTTTACGAAGACGCTTGCAGCGTCTCGCACTCGAATCGTGTTTTCGATACGATGTAAGATGTGTACTTACCCAGGGCAGCACGAGAGGCGGTGACGAAAGCCAACAATGTGAAACCGGTGATCAAAGTCGTTCCTATCGCGGACGAGCCCATCTGGAACGAAAGCAATGGATAAAAGGGTTAGAAAGGAAGGATTTTACGTGTTTTTTGCTCTTTTATTCCTTAGTCCAGTTTTTTAAATATATTTATGAGAGATTGTAATTTGTAAAATAGATGTAATTTGTAATATCTAATGAATAAAATTGATTTTTTTAACAGATATGATTTTTATTTTTTCGATAAAAACATTATAAAATATTATTATTGTGTAATAAAGCATTAATTGAAACAATAAATAAATAGATGTAAACAAATATAAAAGTTGGAAAATGTCATAGAATCTTTTAAAAATTAATTAAGAAGAGTTAGTGATTATGACGAGTAAATCAAATTTTCGCGCTTTCTAGTTTCACACGCCTCTGTTAGTAAAACAGGAATCTACCAAAGTTGGAATTTTCGTGTTTTACCTTTTGGGCAATTAATCCTAACTCATTAAAGAATAATTATTAATTATTTTTTAAAAATTTACTAATAATATATAAACATTTTTTGAATAAAATGTGTTAAAATTTTTACATAATTATAAGTTTCTTTTGATCTGGCCATATAAAAAAATTTCTGAAAAAATTTATCTATTTAATAAATATTAATACCTTAATTTTATAAAATTGAAATTCACTTTTTAAAAACTTGTAACAATTTGTTGCTACAAGATCTTTATAAAAAAGTAATCAATAATCGATTAATCCATTAATAATCATTTATTAAAAAAGAATTCCTTATTAAAAAATAGTCAATCAAAACGAGATTGACCATTATTCGAAAATTTAACAAACAAGAACTACGAGATAATTGCGTTACAAATCTAAACAAAACTAGTTCTAGTTTCCCTGTCAATCGGTCGCTCGAGCATTAATTCGTTATCCGTATCCCACGATCTTTCGCGATCGGAACACCCTTTACACCCGCGAAACACGACGGTATAAATTAAAGGGACGGACGACGATCCCGCGACAACTCGTTTTACAACACGGTGTACGTAAATCAATCCCTCCGTAGAATAAATCGTTCCAACTCGATAAACGCTCGCCGAACGGGGTCCTCTATCCTTTCATAAAAGCGTTAAAAGATCCACAAGCTCTCGTCGAGGAAGTCGTTCGAGATTACCGGCGCGGTCGAGTAATTCGCCCGTGCAACCTGGAAGCACGCAAGTCACCGGCTTCCCGTCCACCTTTTGCTCGTGTTTCACCAACCGGCTACTTCCTGGATTTCTTCTTTCCCTCGCTTTTTGCTCCCTTTCTACCTTTCTCTCTCTCTCTCTCTCTATTTTCTTCTCCACGGTGCATCCACCCAGCTTCTTTCCACGTCTCGCCGCGGTATCATCCTTCTCTCTCTCCCTCTCTCTCTCTTTCTCATTCTCCATAGACCCCCTTTCCCTATCCCTCGTTTTTACTCAAAAGCCGATTGAGCGATCCAAGCGATACTTACAGCGAACTGCCGTGTAAGGCTCGCTATTTCGTTCTCTAGTTTCTTCTTCCTCCATCGGAATGATCCGCGTAAATTCTCTGATCGTTATCTTGGCCGATTCATTTTTTTTCTTTTTGTTCTCCAGAACGGATTCTTCCAAAATCGACCGTCTTCTTCCTTCGATCGTGCTGGAATAAGACGCGCAGGTAGCGTTCGTTCACCTGTGGTTTAGGTCGTCGTGCTTATCTTGCGCTTTGATTGCACGCGTTTCTCATTCGCGTTGCGTCATCGTGGCTAAAATCCAAATCCATTACGCGTGGTGCGTTGCTACGCGCCTCGAGACTCGCATGCCTTCAGGGTAATCGCGGCAGCAAGTAAATGACGGAGAGAGAGAGAGAGAGAGAGAGAGAGAGAGAGAGAGAGAGAGAGAGAGAGAGAGAGAG